TCTTGAGTCCGAGACCCTAGTCATTGGCCGTTATAACAGCATTTCTACCTTATATCCGTGTCTTTCGCCTTTCGGCTAGGCTGCTGGCTCTAACAGCATTTAAAGTAGCAGACAGATACCCTTAAAGACTGCTCTCAAAGTCCTCTAGAGAAGTAAAGGTGGGACTCAAACCCACAATTAAACAAAGAATAAAGGTGGGACTCAAACCCACAATCAAACAAAAACTAAAGGTGGGACTCGAACCCACTATAAAACAAAAACAAGACCAAAGTATCTCTAAAGGATTAACCAGAAACCAAAGCCCTGGAGCAACCAGAAATTGAACCAAAAACCAAAAACATACAGACCTGAGGTACTCACCGGCACCGTCCCTTTACCCGATTTAAGGATCCTGCCTTATTGGTCCCGAGGGGACCGTCCACCTCCCGAGACTGACCCAAATAGGTGAACTCACCTGGTGCGCGCTGGGGTGTCAGGGGGTGGAGGTCTCCAAAGGCTCCAAGCTAGACGAGTCCCATCTGGGGTGCCAAATTGTCGTGGGAGAAAACTCCCTGGTGTTCGTTGTCTAGCTGGCTTAGAGACCAGACAACGCGGGTGAAGGGGTAACTGCAGTTTATTTATTCAAGTAAAGACCATAAAACAGCAAAGAGGTAAAATGGCCCCGACTTAAGGGTGAGGCTGTCTTTTATACATTTTCTAACAAGGAAAACTACAAGGTTATTGAATATGCAATACTTATGGTCATCATCTCCTTACATGGTGCATTACAAATCTCAGTACTTTTCCAAAAGAAAAAAGTTAGTGTTATCTTACACATTCCAATCTGTTTTCCTGTACTCCGCTGTACCATCTTCTTCCCTCTGGGCCCCCCTTATCTTATCTCACTCCTAGCTGCAGCTGGTACTCAGTACACAGACTTAATTTCTGCTTTTTTCTAACAAAATGGTTAAGGCACTTGACATAAGAAAATGGCTGGCTTAGCTATCATTCTGTCTTGTGGTCAGCAACATTGCTAGGCCACAGGTCATGCCTTGTGTTTAGCTACAAAGCTAATACTATTTAATAATTTTAATTATTGTTAACTTAACAGTATACTACAGAAAACTATTTTATTTCAGGGTAAAAACAAACTTGCCCATCACACTCCCAACCTACAGCCCCCTGCCCTGCTGTTGCCCCTTCCACCCAGCCCGCAGCCCTTGCCAGTGTCCCTCACTCCCTAACTGCAGCCCCCTGACTCCACCAGCCCTGCTGGTGCCCTTCACTCCTGCCCTGCAGCCCCCTGTTGTCCCCCCCAGCACTGCTGGTGACCCTCACTCTCAACCTGCAGCTCCCACCAGCCCTGGCACTCTCTGCCCACATGTCATTTCTCAACTAGGACTTTAGTCCTGGAAAATAAGTGGGAAAATCCCAGTATTTGGACATTGGGCAGCAAACAGAGATAAAGTTCTAGGAGGGGAGGGGGGGGCTGGGGGGTGAGAGCGGG